AAGAATTTCAAAACTCTTGTGATGTTTATGTACCTTAGAATGATAATGATTTGCACTCCTAATACAATCAAAATGTGTTTTTTTTATTTGTTTTTAATGATTTTTTTTACAAATGTTAATGTATCTAAATTAGGTGCGTTAAAAAGTATTTTTTTTTTTTTTTACTTTACTAAAAACATAAGGAAAAAAAAAAGTTTAAATTGGAAAACCAAAATAAGTAAAGATTTGAGTACCCAATGGTGACCCAGTTGAGATTATATATTACTCGTATTGGATTTGGAAGGCTTCAAAAACTCCCACTTGATTGATTTCAAGCATATTCAAGTATTTTATTGGCCCTCTCGTGGGTAATGTTTGTGGTGATGGTGAGGGTGTAACAAAGTAGGAGATAATAACACTGTGAAATGAGCATATATCTATCTATCTATCTAGATATCTATCTATCTATCTATACTATTATAAAGTGAACAGGAACTTTGGTGTCTTGAAGCTTTACTCTCCTCATGCCATGTGGCAGTATTTTTTATTTTAAAAAAAAAAGTTAAACAAAGAGATGGGCAAGGCTTGAACCCATGACCATGGGTTTAAATACAATGACTCATACCACTTAAGCTAAGTACACATTATAATATTAATTTCATTATTATTTTTTTTATTCCTACTTATTTAAATTGCACACACATCGTGTGTGCCACCCACTAGTATATATATATATATATGTGTATGTATGTGGATGCCTAATCACGTTGTCCACGAAACTCCTCAATACTGTTATTCTCTCATAGGAAAAAGCTTCGGACCCAGTGGGGGTACTGGGGTCGCATGTGATTGGTCCAAAAAAAAAAATTATTATTATTATTATTTTTTTTTAATATTTTCCGCCAACCCCATGCTTCCACGTCACTGGGGGTCGGAAGCACGGCTCTTCTCTCATATGCAAGAAATTATTCAATTTTTGTGGACAAAACTGGTTACCTTTTATGTTGATATTTTAAGAAATAATATGAAAAGTCTCAATTAGTAAATAGAATGGAACATTACTCCAATATTAACTAATATTTTTTCCTCACATGAATTTTTTTGTTCAATAAATGATTTAATTAAGTCAACAAAGCCTTTCCTCCAACTATTTTTGGATTGGATTGTATTCCCAGTTCACTTAGCTAAGGCTATGAAGACGATGCATAACGAGATTGCAATTGGGGGTGAGTGTTAGTGTTAGACAAGGGAGCGAAGGTAAGGAAAGAGGGGTTCGAAGGAGTTGCAGGTGGTGACCAATGAGGGTGTTAAATAATGATGTATTATTTATTGATGTGTTGATTACAAGATTGATGTGTATATTGATATTTTTGTTATGTTTACAATGATCAAATATATAGAAGAGAAGAAGGTAGTAGGTGAAGTGGTAGGGGATGAAGTGGAGGTGGTAGTGGTAGGTTAGGTGAGGAGGTGAGTGTGTGTGGTAGGTGGTAGTAGTGGGTTAAGTTTAGTGGGTTTAACAGTCGTATTCTATACCGTTGTATTGCTTTTTGTTTTGATGAGTATCTTCTAGTTTCTAACTATAATTTTCTTTTCTTTCAAATACCTTTATAAATGGACTAAAATATGCTCCCTTCTGTTTTATAGTGTGATATTACCTAGCCTAACAATGCGTGGACTTTATTCATTTCAATTTGGAAATACTATTCACCTTCTTTACTAGTTTCTTTTCTTTTTGAGTATCAACATAAAAAATTCTCTTGGCTAACACCACATGGGGTAAGATGATGATCAAAATCAGCCACAATTCCAGAGAGGAAACGCCATTACAGACCCGTCTCAACAAGCTGGCCTCACAATCGGCAAGGTTGGTGGTGCATGAAAGAGGGCATATGGGGACGATGGTGATGCCGATCAGCTTCATCTTCATGAGCCACATGTTGGATATTGACTGGAGGCTCGGATGATGAATAATAACCAGGCTGTTGTGGAGGATAACCATGATGAGAGTAATTGGGTGGTGGTGGTGGCTGAGAAGATAAAGCAGAGCCGTGGTCAGTGAAAAGGGAAATAGAGCTGTCTGCAGAGCGAGAAATTAGAAAATTTGGATTTGTCCGGCGGGCGGCCAAGGCGAGATTGCCGCCCGCCGGTGGAACGAAAAATACTAGGTTCCTAACCTAGCTCTGATACCATGTTAAATAATGATGTATTATTTATTGATGTGTTGATTACAAGATTGATGTGTATATTGATATTTTTGTTATGTTTACAATGATCAAATATATAGAAGAGAAGAAGGTAGTAGGTGAAGTGGTAGGGGATGAAGTGGAGGTGGTAGTGGTAGGTTAGGTGAGGAGGTGAGTGTGTGTGGTAGGTGGTAGTAGTGGGTTAGGTTTAGTGGGTTTAACAGAGGGAAAGGGTAAAGAGAGGGTCGAAAGGTGGTCATAAGTAGAGAAAGGGTGGTGGAGACAACAAGTGGGTGACGCTCGCAATTAATATATTTGTGAAATGTAGCGGAGAGAGGATGGATAAATTAAGAAATTAGAATTTTAAAATTTAAATCTTTAATGATAATTTTATATAGATACCAATTTGTAATAAAATTTATAATTAATGGAAGGACATGCACTCAGGTAACAAGTCTCATTGTTACCTAGCAGTGAGTGAGTAATACTAATAGGAATAGGATGATTCATTTCCAAAAGGTCATAGTCTTGAGAATTGTAAGTAAAAATTACTTAAAAATTAACACTTTTGTAATTTTAATATACATTCCATATATTGTAAAAAAAATTACATACTACAATATATTTTATATACATTTTTAAACCTTAAAAAGAACCCTTCCCTTTCTAAATGCGAACAAAAAGTACGAATAGAGTTTTTTTGCTGGGAAGAGTCAATATGCTCCATTAACCCAAAATCAAAGACAAGTCTGCCATTATTGTCGAAGGGGCCTCTTTATTTCACTAGTCTCTATCCATAAGGCCCCATAAACAAATTCCTACGAAGCTCCCTTTTTTTATTTACATATTTTTTATCTTCAAATTTAAATTGACATGTTTATGTTATTATACTTCAAAAAATGTAGAGTATGATATTTAATGATAATTATTTACTCGTATAGGAAATGATTTTTGCGCTTAAATGGAAAGTAACTTGAGCTCTCAGTCCCAATTTGGTCATTCAAACCCTCTTCAACTAGCATTATATATAGGGTTGTTTTAGTAACACATTAAAAAAGTCAAAAATTAGTTTTTAACTTATTTTCGGTCATATTACTTCTTACATGAAACAATGAAAAAAATTGAAAGTCAGTTTTTAATCTTCTCTCAAAACACTCCATAGTTTCACGTCTCATTCTTTTTCAATTTTTACGATATGATATACACAGTTAAAAAATAAAAATAAGGATAAATTATATTTAACGCTGTTTATGCTTGACCACTTTTTTATTTTGGCCCTTAAGATTTTTTTTTTTTTTTTTACTTTGGCCCTTTATGTTTCAATTTTTTTCAATTTATTTCTAAAGATAATTTTTGTTAAAAATTAGACAGAAAATGACACATTCACAATCACATAGCATAAAAATATTTTATTTTATATACCTCACATTTTTTTATATAAACTTAAACTCTATAATATAATATATTTTTTATGTTATGTGACAATTATTATGATATTTTTTTGTCTAATTTTGAACAAAAATTACTTTTAGGAGCAAATTGAAAAAAATTTGATATATAAAGGACCAAAATGAAAAAAAAAAATTTTGAGGATCAAAGTGAAAAGCAGTTAAACGTAGAGGAAGAAAAATGTAATTTATCCTTAAAACAAAGGAGAATTAATGACTAGTGGATTAAGATAGGTTAGGTATTTATTATTGTTATTTTGTTTGAAAAAAAATTAGCAAGTATTCTTTATTATTTCTATCTTTTATTTTTGGGAAAAATAAGCTTGTCTAATTATTATTATTGTTAAAAATATGAAAATTTTATTTTAAAAATTAACTTTTCAAGTACACCATACATTCATAGAATAACAGAATAATACAAAAAAATCAAATACAGAATATTTTAAAAAATTAACTTTTCGAGTACACAATACATACATGGAATAATAGAATAATACCAAAAAAAAATCAAATACAGAATAGGACGTATCTTTCTATGTATTTTTTGGAATGCCATAAATCCTGTCCCAAAATTATGTTAGAGAGAACGAGAGAGGGAGGGGGGCTTTAGATTCCCCCTAAAATGGTGTCATAAACCAATAATAAATAATAATAAAAAGTGTGTAATATTTTACATTTATTTATTTTGCTAGTACTAGTAGTAGTAGTATTTTATTTATGTTTTAGTCCTCGGCCTATTTTTGCTCTGCTCTGTTCTTTCTCACTTTTTTCTCAGCCGTCCCGATATTCTCTCTCTCTGTCTCTCTCTCTCTCTCGCCGGCGATCTTCACATCCCGACCACTCCACCACTACAGATCGAGTTCTCCACCGTCTCTGTTGGTAAGTTGACTCTCTGCTCGTGTCTTTTTCATTGGTCGATTACAGTTATTTCTTGAGTTTGCTTAAGTCTCTTTATGTATATATATATATATACATGTATATACTTTTTTGTTTCTTGTTGACAATGGTGTTAGGAAGGTTAGATGCTTTTTAAGTGATTGAATTTAGGACTGTGGTTTCCTTAGAGCTTATAATTACTGGATTCATTTTTTAAAAGGTAATTTGGGCATGTGGGTTGCTCTTGTTTGGATCCATGGATGTCTTGGCGTGCTGTTTCTGGATTTCTGGGGGCATAGTGAAGCTGATTAGAACGCGTTTGTCTGGTTCTCCTTTTCTTGAATTGGGGTTGCTCATAATTTAAGGGGTTGTTAAGAGTACAGTTGGATCTGTGTGTTCTTACAAGGTTCTTGTGGTATTGGGTATTTTCTTTGGTGGAATTGGAATCTGGGGACTTTTGTCCCTTTTTTTTCCCCTCATTTTTGGTCCCAGTTATTTGAATTTTGACTTAATGGAAGCTAGATTTGGAAGAAAGGCTCATCATTTCTATGGTCCAGTGATGTCTGATTTGAAGGCAGTTGGGAAGAAGAGTATGGAATGGGATTTGAATGATTGGAAATGGGATGGTGATCTGTTTACTGCTACTCCACTTAATTCTGTACCGTCGGATTGCAGGAGTAAACAGTTATTTCCAGATGGGTCTGAGATTCCAACCAATACAGGTTTGTCCAACAGTTCATCATCTTGTTCGGATGAAATCAATTTGGGAAATGACAAGGGAAAGAGAGGGAATTGGAGAAGCGGAGGAGGGTGGCTGTTGTTGAGGATGAAGAGTTGAATGATGGTGGTGGGTCCCTTAATTTGAAGCTCGGTGGGCAAGTGTACTCTATCACAGAAGCCGAGATGGAAAAATGGGAGGGGAAGAGTGGGAAGAAGAGCAAAGTTGCTGCTGCAGCTACCTCGAACCGTGCAGTATGCCAAGTGGACGATTGTCGATCTGATTTGACTAATGCCAAAGATTATCACCGAAGGCACAAGGTTTGTGATATGCATTCCAAGGCCAGTAAAGCATTGGTGGGAAATGTTATGCAGCGGTTCTGTCAGCAGTGTAGCAGGTCAGTTCTTGTATGGTGATACTTTTCAAGGTTTTCTATGGTTGTCTATGCTGGTAGCAAAGATAAGAATTCGGAGTATCTTGGGGTACTCATGAAGTTCAATCATGGCCTTCCATTTGGTTTCTTTTGCTAAATAGATGAGAACCAAAATGAGGCTGGATCACACACTTCACAAAATTTAATTCTGCTTATGTTTGGTCTTTTTATTTTATATTTTTCTGCAAGTAGTTCTTTATGTTTTATGAGGCATATTGTATTAGCATGAATATTGTTTCTTCAATTAGATACAATTTGGTTATACCAATGGGCAGGTTTCATGTTCTTCAAGAGTTTGATGAAGGAAAGAGAAGTTGTCGTAGGCGTTTGGCAGGCCACAATAAAAGGAGGAGAAAGACCCACCCCGAAAACGTTGTTAATGGAGGCTCCTTGAATGATGAACATGGTAGTAGCTATCTATTGGTTAGTCTTCTGAGGATACTTGCCAATACACATAGTAAGTATTCATCTTACTGAAATTCATATGCAGTTGGTCTTCCAGTTATTTCTTGTCAATTTTATTAGCTGTTCTATTGTAACACCGGAAAATGGATATTCTACTATTATCAACTGAGTAGTATGGATATTTCTAGGTAGGAGTTGTGTTCATTCTGAACACTGGCACTTCTCGGTCACTTCTAGAAATATGTGCTATTAATGTAATTTGTAATTTTGGACAGTCTTACAACGCTTCTACACTCTTATCTCACAATTGATGTAGTGAAACTCTTAATAGGAACAATGGTAAGCATTTGTGGGAATGATAACTCCAATACTCCCATGTATCTTGAAAAGATTGTACAAAGATTACACCGTATGCATGACTAATGCAAAGTATGCTGCGGACACCTTCTAGTATTAGAAAACAATATAGCTATAAAGATTTATATATATATATATATATAATAAAGAAAAAACAAGTGTGCTAAGAAACCAACTCTGTTTTATATACATGATATTTGTGGAGCTTTACCTTTCTCATTTTTCAATACTAGTATAGATAATAAATTAAATTACGTAGTTTTCTTATATAGTTTGCATAAGAAATATATGAATAATTTAGGATGTTGTCATGTCCATGTTGTTTATTGTATCAGTGTGCCTGTGTTGTATTGTCTAACATGGCACTAGTCTGTGCCTCTGTGACATAGTTTGTCAAATTATAATGGCCATCGTTCTCCCCCACCTACCCTTGCCCCCCGCCCTCTAACATGTCACTAGTCTGTTTCTGTGACAAAGTTTATTGAAATGGTTCTCCCCCTCCCTAGGCAGACACACCCTCAAAGGAAAACAAAGCAACTACTGTAGGTGCTTTATGCACCCCTTTGGATCTGGATTTTGTGGCATATCCACATTGTATAGTTGAAAATGCTTGAATCAATCCTGGGAAAAGTGAATTCCTAACTTCGGGAACAGCATTGAACCTGTGATGTTATTTTTTGTTTGTTGGTCGGTTGTTTTGATGCCACAACTATTTTAACTCGCAATGATTGTGCTCTCTATCCAATGCAGCCAATAGCACAGATCAAACAAAGGATCAGGATCTGCTGTCTCATCTATTGAGAAACCTTGCTAATCTTGCTGGATCAATTAATGGGAATAACATATCTGGATTACTGCCTGGTTCTCAAAATTTGCAAAATGCTGGGACATCTCTTGGAACTCCGGAAAAGGTTTCAAATCTGATTTCAAACAGTCCCAAACATCCCTCTATTTTCGGTTCAACTTCTAACACAGATGATTTCATTGATATTCAGGATCCTCCGAAGCTTAATGGACAATGCACAACTGTATCTGTATTGGAAGGCATAGAGAAGAGAACTTTTTCTGATGATCCTCTGGGTGGAACTCTTCAAACTCCATCTACTATTCTGTGTCCTACAAGAGACAGTATTCCAGCTATAGCTAGTGGCCCAGAGACTGCAGCGGGAAGGATGAAATTGAATGATATTGACTTGAATAATGTTTACGATGATTCTCAAGACTGTGCAGAAAACCTGGATAGTTACCATGCTCCTGTAAATCCAGGAACAGGGTCTCTTGATTGCACCGTATGGGGACATCAACACTGTCAGAAGTCAAGCCCACCTCAGACTAGTGGGAATTCAGGTTCCATGTCCACCCTGTCTCCATCTAGTTCCAGTGGGGAGACTCAGGTACATTTTCATTGCAAGTGCATGCGTTCAATTGTTCATTGAATGATTGCAAATTGAGATTCAAAATTTTGCTGTGAAGTTAGATCTGGTTGGATTGATGAATAAACAATCAATATACTGTAAATTTGTCATGACCATGGTGTTAAAAACTCTCTCCCTTGCTTGTGTGCATGCACAGACCCCTCTACTTATTCATCATATTTCATGGTTAGAGGTGACATCTTTAGTTTTCAGCTATCTAGTGTTTTTCGGGTGATGTTATGCCTGCTTCAGTCCAAAATTTTTATGAGAAAAATCTGTTTATTTTAATTGATTGTGATAGATTTATGTACTTCATTGCTACAATTTGATGTTCAATTCTCATGTTCTCATTTATTGAGTTGATGGTTTATACCCCTAAAACACTTAGGTTAACTTTTGCATGAAGTACTTATGGCCATGGATGAAGCATACTACTCTTTTATTAGCTTTAAAAGATTTCTTTTCTGATCTGCACTCTTTTTTTTTTTTTTTTTTTTGGGACTAATTTTCAGAGTCGCACAGATCGAATTGTTTTCAAACTCTTTGGGAAAGATCCAAGTGATTTTCCTCTTGTCTTGCGGAAACAGGTATCTCTGTGTTGTGAAATTATGTGTTTAGGGGGGTGTTTGGGAAGCTAGCTTTTTGGCTAAAATAGCCAAAATGCCCAATCACATCACGTTCTCTACTTTTTTGCATGTCTTTTCGTGCCAAAAAGCCAACTAAAATAGCCAACTCCCAAACAAGCTCTTAGTTGTTTAATGATTACTTCAACAGAAAGTTTTATTTTGTTAAATGTTTCGAGTTTTCAGATCCTTGACTGGTTATCCCACAGTCCTACTGACATTGAAAGCTACATAAGACCTGGCTGTATCATATTAACTATCTATCTTCGATTAGGGAAATCCACATGGGATGAGGTAAGCCCTTTTGTCATTACCAGGAATGCAGGCTCCTAACTGTCATCATTGGCAAATCACTTCTAAACTTTGAAGTTACTGCTTCTGTCTACAGCTTTGCTGTGATCTGAACTCCAGTTTGACTAGTCTTCTTGACGCATCAAATGATTCTTTTTGGAGAACGGGATGGGTGTATGCTAGGGTGCAGCATCGTGTAGCATTTACTTACAATGGTTTGTTCCTTTTTTCCTGCTGTTTTTTTTTCCTATTGTCCCACTGTGATGAGCAATAAAACTTCCCATAGGAGGATAATTTGATTGTGTTTTTTTATTTGTGCTGCAGGTCAGGTTGTTTTAGACACACTGTTACCTCGTAAAAGCCATAAAAATTGCAGGATTTCAAGCATCAAACCTATTGCAGTTTCAATCTCCGAGAGGGCTCAATTTTTAGTTGAAGGCTTCAACCTGTATCAATCAACCACAAGGTATCCTTCATTGATTTCGCGTGTGCATTATCACTGATTTTATGTACAACATTCTGAATTTGAGGTTTCAAAGGAATCTCTTAGCAATTGTTTGGGTTATTGTGTGTCTGCTACTAAGTTATTTCTACTTTTGTTTCAGGCTACTCTGTGCACTAGAAGGGAAGTATCTGGTGCAGGAAAGTTGTTCTGACATGATGGAGGGAGGTAATACTTCCATTGATCATGATGAGATCCAATGCCTAAGCTTTTCTTGCTCTATACCAAATGTTACTGGGAGAGGATTCATCGAGGTAATGCCATCCTGGTTCTTCCCCGTATCCTATTATTTTCTTCTGGTATTGGGCTCTATTTGTGAATTTGTAGAGTGCAAATCATCAAAAACAAACAAGGAATCTCAAAGAAACAAAAGAAAATATGTATCACCCATCAGATTATAGGAAAACATAATATTTTAAGTATTTCATATTTACACTATTTATTTATATTTACTAAAAAAAATTCAATTGACACCAATCTTCAATATTTATTCATATTTTAACATATAAGCGCTCCCATCCTTAGTCTCTAGTCTATGTGCCTTAGCTCCTGTTCCTGCCCCTGCATCTGCTTTGTGTGTGGAGCTTTAAACACCCCCATCCCCAATGGGGAAAACGGAATTTAAATCAGATGAAAAGAGAAAGGAAGAAAGAAAGGAAAAACACTTGCCAGATGCTTCTGACTCAACTTGAATTTCTCATGCTTGCATGGGAAATGTGGCTTTGTTATCTTAGTTATTTTTAGTATGCCATGATTCAAGAAACACGAAATGCATGCACCTCTTACATGTCTTACACTTATTTCTATTTTTGAATTATGGTTTCTCTTTGTTTGCTCCATTTAGGTTGAGGACCATGGTCTCAGCAGCAGCTTCTTTCCATTTATAGTCGCAGAGCATGATGTATGTTCTGAGATCTGTATGCTGGAGAGTGAAATAGGGGTGGCTGAGATTGCTGATGACATTCAAGCAGAATCCGAACAAATGAATGCCAGGAATAATGCACTGGATTTTATCCATGAAATGGGTTGGCTTCTCCACAGATGCCAGTTGCAGTTCAGATTGGGTTCTGCGGATCCCAATTTGGATCTATTTCCTTTCAAACGGTTCAGGTGGCTCATGGAGTTCTCCCTTGAGCACAACTGGTGTGCTGTAGTTAAGAAACTTTTGGGCATTTCATTCAACGGAACTGTTGATGCAGGAGATCATTCTTCCATTGAACTTGCATTGCTGGAGATGGCTCTCCTCCACAGAGCAGTGCACAAAAATTGCAGATCTATGGTAGAGATGCTTTTGAGATATGTACCCGATGGAGTTTTGGATAAACCAGACTCTGAACAGAAGCAGCATGTGTACAGCAGCTCTAACTTCTTATTTAAACCAGATGCCATTGGCCCAGGGGGTCTGACTCCTCTTCACATAGCAGCTAGTAGAGATGGGTCTGAGAATGTATTGGATGCTTTAACTGATGATCCTGGATTGGTATCTTCTCCATTCCTACTATATATTACAATTGTTTACTGAGTTATTATGCTTGGGTTTCTTCTATTTTTGCCACCACAAACTTTTCTCTTCAAATGGTCATAGTGTTGAAACTACTTTGTTTTGGTAAAAATGTCTCAGAAGAAATAGTTTCATCAGGACAGTATATATAGTCTTAAGTTGCTTTTTGCCTCTTTGCGCTCTACATTTCAGGTGGGAATTAATGCATGGAAGGGGACTCATGACAGTACAGGATTGACACCGAATGATTATGCATGCCTGAGAGGGTACTATTCCTACATCAATCTAGTGCAGAAGAAAATCAACAAGAAAAAATCAGGAAATGAGCACGTAGTGCTTGACATCCCCGGTGCACTCTTAGCACACAACATCAAGCAGAAACTAATGAATGGGCATAGGTCGGCAAAGGTTGCTAGCCTTCATACCGAGAACGGTGAAATGAAGCCAATTCAGCGACACTGCAAACTATGCGAACAGAAAATGGCATATCGCAACCCGAGAGCCTCACTGGCTATCTACAAGCCGGCAATGCTTTCAATGGTGGCCATCGCTGCTGTCTGCGTATGCGTTGCTCTGCTCTTCAAGAGCTCACCAGAAGTTCATTGTGTGTTCCAACCCTTCAGATGGGAACTTTTGAAGTATGGGTCAAGCTAAAGATAGGAATAGGTTTGCAGTTTCGTCAGTTGTCTGTTGAATGATTATGATTTGTTTTTGTATTTTTTTTTTTATAATTATATTAATGAGATAAATGTAGTAGTAAGTACTGGTGACTTGTATGGAGATCTATCTTTCAGTAGGAAATGATTATGTATATCTATTTTACACCCTTTTTTTTTTCTTTTTTTTTTTTTTTTTTTTTTTTGTTCATTTCTAATTTACAAGAAATGTTCAACATGTGGAATCCTTTTGCTGTGTATTGTAAATTTGAGACCTTTCTTCCATCTGAATCTTGAAGTTGAACATGACATGAGGAATCCTTTCCTGTGTAGTGTATGCATATATATATATATATATACTAGCGGCCGGGCAAACGCGATCCGTATGCAATTTCTTTTAGAATTATAATATAAATTTTATGTTATTTTTTCGAATAATATACATATAAATCATATGAGTAATTATGTACAATGTAACATTTGATATTAATGTATTTGATAAATAAAATATATGTGCATGAAAAAATGTACAAATCTTTAAAAAAATACAATATTTACTAATGTTAACTAAAAGTGAAACATAGGAATGGCAAGTAGATAGATTTAGAACATGAGTGCAAAAACTGATGACTATATATATGCATGCAGGAAATCTTTAGCCCCATTAGTGTCTTTCTCTCTGATTTGTGCGAGAGAATTCAAAGTCGAATGAGGTAATGCAGCCTAAGAAAACAATTCTTTTAGCTTTCTTAGACGGAGTTCTATTTTTTTTTAAGGTAAATTACATTGACACGCTTTGAGATTTATGTTTATCTTACATTGTAAGTGTAATATTGTTAATTATATTTTTATTTTTTTCAATAAAGAGTTTCATTATGTAATTAGGTTCTGTGAAGAAAAAAATATATTGATTGAGAACACTATTATGCATTTTTTTTCTTCATTAAAAAGTTTCATTGTGCGTGTGTTTTTTTTTTTGGGGGGGGTGGAAATCAGTGCTCATAATTTTTTGTGTGTGTGTTTTTGAAAAAAAAAAATCGGAATTTTCTGTATTTTCATTAGATTAATTTTTAGGTTTGTAATATTTATATGTGTTTTTAATTAAACAGTTTGACACTTATGTGCAATTTTTTAGAGACTTAAATAGTTTTGGATTTTTTTCTATTTCACTTTTTAAGCTATTGTTTCTTTTTGTGTATAAATTCAGTTTTTTTATAATTTGATTTGTTTGTTTGTTTACTTTTGTGAGAACACTATTATGTATTTTTTTTTCTTCATTAAAAAGTTTCATTGTGTGTGTGTTTTGAAAAAAAAATAAAAAAAAATCAATGTTCTTAATTTTGTGTGTGTATTTTTGGGAAAAAAAAAATCAGTGTTTTTTGTATTTTCATTAAATTAATTTTTAAGTTCTTAATTCATATTTATGTAGGCTTCTTTGAATAATTTAGCACCATGATGTAGTGTCAAAGAAACCCACTAATCAAAGAAACACAAACATAAACTCAACTCAGACAATACAAATTCACATACATTATTTAGGATATATAGTTGATAGTTACTCATAGATCAATAGATCATAGATAAAACTACAAAAAAACACAGTTAATTAAAATTAGAAAATTTAAAAGAGGTGGTGGTGCTTCTTTCCTCGTACACTTCAAAACAAACATATAAAAAAACAAAGGTTTTTTTTTAGAATAGTTACAAATATGATGAGGGGCTTTACTTCCATGTCTTCTCCATTATCTCTTATGTGAAAATAAAGAAAATGGCACAAAACCCATTTTTCTTTTTTTGCAACAAAGAACCTCAAAACATCACAACAACTCTAAATAAAGCAATTATCGAATATATGGGTTGTCCTCAGATTCAGACACTCAAATATAATTCCCCCAAAACTCCATTTCATTTCAAAGAGAGACCCAATGAAAACCCAAACAAAGATTCTTTCCCGCTAGGAATGTTTGAGTTTTGTAGGCTATAATTTGCAGACCCAAATTGAGATTTCTTCTTCCCCGAAAGCCGGTGATAACCCGAAGGAGAAACCCAACTTGTAACGCCCTCAAAATAATACATAAAACCCATCACTTTAGACATGCATTGATATAAAAGAAACTAACCATTTCTATTCATCAGAGTAGTTCTTACAACAGTATTACATGTTAACAACAAAAGCAAATGCCCTATGGGCTTATAGCTTTCCAAGTCAACACCTGGTTACACAAAAGAAAAGTACTAACTCTCTCTATACAAAATAAGCCCTTGGCTTGATATATATGTAATACAAACAAAATAAACAAAAAGAGTCTTCAACTCTCATCATCATCCAAGCTATGTCCTTGGAGGTGAAATGCTGCCTGTACCTGAGAATAATGTCCCATATAAGGTGAGCCAACGCCCAGTAGAGATATGCTAAACACAGTATAAGCAGTAACTAAGACATTAGTAATTGATAAATGTTTTATTTCCATAAATCAATTTATAACCCATTTCCATTACGTGACCACTATGTCCATGTTTCATTTCATTTTCCATTTCTTATCAATTTCACAATTTGCATCAACGGCTCAGAACCTGGCCAACCATTTACATGAGATAGAGGCTCATAATAAACTTCTCCCATTTCACATTAGATAAGCATACCAGCTATAACAACATTTCATCCGATAAACATATAAGCTACATCAGCATCTCAACAGATAAACATATAAGCTGTATCAATATTTCAACAGATAAGCATATGAGCTATATCAACACTTCCATAGATAAGCATATGAGCTATATCAATACATTAACTGACAAGCATATGAGTTGTATCAGCGGAGTCCATCCCCTATCTCCTCCCAAACAACATCCGGTTTAGAGGTCCATCCCCTATCTTCCCCTAAACCGTGGAGTACATCCCCTATCTCCTCACAAACACAAAGTATATACACATTGGTCATATACATAATCAATCAATACATAACGTTAATGTATTCTATCAACCGTCATACTCTATGACATATCCAATTGATTAGTTTTAGTTTGCCTAATCATCATGCATTGTCTACAACAATCAAAACTACCTTCCACTGGTAGCCCAAGCAATTATTTCTAAACGGATAATAAAAGCTCCAACAGATAAAATATCAATGTTTTCAAAAGTGAACGATTAATAAATCCAACTCTACCATTCTACTATATAATGAGCCAATTTCATTATTTCCGACTCAATTCCATATAGCCACAATTTTCCCAAATTAATTATACCGATTAATTTATACAACCAATTAGGGTTTTCTACCTCATTTCCCAATATTGACCCAATGGTCTATATATCAACAACCAACAACGATTTCGTTATTTTGAAACCCAAAATACATATTTTAAAATCAAAATAACAAAACCCCCTTTCAACCTTTTCAAACCCTAACTTTCCAAAATTAACCATTTAACAAAATACCCAAAAATCTAGGTTAAAACCCATAGCAGTGAGTAGGAATCACTACCTCAAATGATGGAACCCAACGAAGAAGATGAAGGAAACGAAAATGCTCCAAATCTCGAGATTCTTGGATCAAAAGATAGCCCTCGACGATCAATAACCTTTTTGTAAAGGCCAAAGGAAGGGAGAACACCCTAGCTAGATCAAACCCTAGAGAGAAGGCAAGGTTCTAGAGAGAGAAGCTCTCAAATGGCGTTTTGGAAAAGTAAGAAAGAGAGTGGAAGTGTAGAAAATGATTCAAAAATGCCCAGCTGCCCTCTGTTATACGACATTCCCGCTCGAGCGGAAAACATAACGCTCAAGCGTCAAGAACAAAAACTAGGTCCGCTCGAGCGCAAGAAGGCCCGTTCGAGCGCCAAGACACAAGAATAAAGTACATCCGCTCGAGCGCGAAAACCAGTCCGCTCGAGCGTAGATTTTCATCTCCCAGAACTTTTCAGAAAAAGAACTACCCGCTCGAGCTCCAACAATCCCGCTCGAGCGTAGTAAACCCGCTCGAGCGTAGAAAACACACCTGCAGAAGTTTTGCAGGGACACGAAATACTGGAAGGGTGTAAACCACGCTCGAGCGCAGAATGACCTGTTCGAGCGGACCATACAAAAACTGGGCAACAACAATGGGAGCCAAAGCTCTACCAACCTGTAACAACCAAGCCCAACACAACCTATAACTCAACCAAATGGAATCAAAGGACGATCACAAGGTAGATACAACTACCAGCTCTACGGAACTGAAGTCCGGAATGCAACAGATACATAAAGGGAAAATCGGGATCGCTATAACCTTCCCCCCTTAAAGAATTTCGTCCCCGAAATTAAATATAGGTTTTTCAAAAACAAGATTTTCTCAATTCCCAACATTATTACAATGTGAAATTTAACAACTCGACCCATTACCGGTCTTTCCATCTCTATTCAAAAGGCAATTCACCACATATCTCAATATGTATCAACAACATGCTTTTCCCGAAATTCAATAATTTCTACATACATGTTTCACAATTTTGTATCATATTCAACATTCATGATATATCTCCATTTCTACAATACGTTGAACATATGCAATGTTATAACAAATCTATTAACCAAAACATTCACAATGTTTTACAACTTAAGACATATATAATGCTCTTAAAGTTCAACGATATAACAAAATTACCAATGCATGGTTACACATTAACAAACAAGTCCGGATATTTCTTGCGGACTTCCAACTCACGTTCCCAAGTGGCTTCCTTCACGCCATGATGTTTCTACAAAACCTTTACCAAAGAAATGATCTTGCCACGCAGGACTTGATCCCGCCTATCCAAGACTCGAACCGGTCTCTCTTCATACGAGGCATCCTCATCTACCTCTAAGTCGGTCCAATCTAACATATGGGACGGATCCGACTCATACTTCCGAAGCATACTCACATGGAACACGTCATGTACTTCGGACAACTGCGATGGCAAAGCTAAACGATAAGAAACCTCCCCAATCCTCTCAAGGATCTCAAAGGGACCGATAAACCGAGGGGATAACTTCCCACTCTTCCCGAACCTCATCAAACCTCGCCTAGGTGATATTTTCAAGAAGACATGATCACCTACCTCAAACGCCAAAGGCCTCTTCCTACGGTCGGCATAACTCTTTTGGCGACTCTGGGCTGTAACAAGCCTCCTACGGATAAGCTCAACTT